TTTTCATCTGCATCTCTCGAATGACCAGTGATGTGGAACATTTTTTCATATATTTCTTTGCTGTTTTTACTTCTTTGTCTGAGAAATGTCTGTTCATTTTGGATGCCCAGTTTTGAATTGGGTCTTTGAATTTGGGAGGCCTGATTTTTTTCAGTTCTTTATATATTCTTGATAGTACACCTTTGTCTGAGCTACAGTTGCTAAATATTTCTTCCCACATTGTAGGTTGTCTCTTAGCTCTGTTAGTAGTTTCTCTTGCAGTGCAGAAGCTTTGTAATATGATGAGATCCCAGTTGTTTATTCTTTGTGCTAGCTCCCGTGCTACTGAAGATTTGTTTATAAAGTCTTTTCCTATGCCAAAGTCATCAAGAGTTCTACATAACTTATCTTCCAGCAAGTTTAATGTTTCTGACTTAATATTTAGATCTTTAATTCACTTCGATCTTAGTTTAGTGGGCGGTGATAGGTATGGGTCTAGTTTTAATTTCTGACAAGTTGAAATCCAGTTTTTCCAACACCATTTATTAAATAGGCTATCTTTCCTCCAATGAGGGTGGTGCTCCTTTGTCAAAGATGAGGTGACTGAGTATGTCTGGAGTTGTTTTTGCATCTTCTAATCTATTCCACTGATCTTCAGCTCTGTTTCTTTGCCAGTACCATGCTGTTTTTATTACAGTAGCTTTGTAGTTAAAACTCCTATTTCTTAAAATCAGTTTCATTTCAAGATCTACTGGTGTCCATTGCCAAATTTCCATCTTTTGCTAATATTCCCACATCTCTCCCTAAACCAATTAACCTTCTAAGTTTTCTATATTACATCCACTCTTAGTGAAACAAATAGTTATAAAACTACTAGAGTATGTTTAAATTTACTCTTGATTGAAAATACAGTTCACAAACTTAATTTGTTCCATGATTCTGTTTATCACTCGATGTGGAGTTTTTGAACCAGAAGCAAAATTTTGCTGAATGTTTGTGAACAGAAACATCAGTGAACCAAGGTATTATGATCACCTAAACCAACACTGCATCCTCTTTAGCAGTTAGTGCAGTTTTTAAAGAATGAGATTTTGTTGGCATGATTATTTAAGATTACCTTTGAACTAGACATCATATCAGCTTATGTAAGTAAGGGAAAGTTTAACAAGTAATTACAAAGCTGATAACAGACAATTTAAATTAAATCTATACTGATGCCATTTTAGTATTTAAATTTGAATTTCTAAGTGTATTTCATTTTTTAAAAAGCCTCTCTGAAAAATGTTTGAAAGTTTCAGGGACTATTGACTTTTAACTCTAAATCAGATATATTTTCATAGAAACTTAAATTGTATTAAGCAATGGCTTTGCTCTTTTAAATTTTTTAAACAATTACAGGAGATTGAATTTAATACTAACTGTGGTGTTATTAACCCATTATGATACCACTCATCTGGTCCTGATTAGCTCAGCCTATATAAAGGAACTTTCTATATTCTCTTAAAACATTGGTCCTCTACCAGCAGTGATTTTGTCTTCCTGGGGACACTTTATACCATCCAGAGACATATATGGGTATGACCTCTTATTTTTGTCATCAGGTGGGAAGAGGGCAGAAATATCGCTAAACATCCCATGGTAAATAGCCCAGCCACCAGAAACAAAGAATTATTTAAACACAAATTCCAGAATCACTGAGGCTGAGAAAATTGGCTTAAAATTAAGCCCTCTCTTTTTCTCATGATAAACAATATTGATTTTTCTTTTTATTGTTACTTTAATTTAACATAGTTATGGACTACAATGTGATAATGTATCACAATACACAATGATCAAATCAGAGTAGTAAACATTTCTACCTCCTTAAACATTTTCTAAACATATAATAATTGCATATAGTTATGAAGTACAGTGTGGTATTTTAATACACATATACAATGTATACTGATCAAATCACAGTAAAGATAGAGAACAAGATAAACTGTGGTGATCTTTTCAATAGCATATGGGAGTCATACTGGTGCTTATAATAAATACATAATAACACCTAGATATATTTATCTCATAAAAACATTCAGATTTCACAAATTAAATAAGTAGTAGGTTTTCAGTTACTTAAAAACTGAAGCATTTTCTTAAGTAATATAAAAAGCAAATAGCAATACAGAAAAACATTAAAAGTGATTGCATTTTTCTAATTTTCTATCTTTGAAAAATTTTAAAGATAATACCTTCTCTTTAGTTTTTTATTTTTGTAACATTTTATTAGCATATATTAGTTATACAGATTTATGATTTTTTGGCAAATTTGTACATAAACATAACACATTCCATCATTTTTATACCCCATCATGCCTTTGAAGAAAACTAACAAGAAGAAATCTTTAGAAATATTATTAGCAAAACATAAGCTATAATTTAAGAAAATGTGGCAAACTGTAAGATTAGAATGTTCTGGTCCAGAGAAATAAGTAGTGAAAAACGAGAACTGATTGGTAGCTATGTATTTCTGTAGAACTGTCTGAGGAAGAGAGTGTTCTCATTATAATGACAGATTCCAATTACCTAAGGTAGAACAAGTTATTCTTGGATTTGAGAAAGAAAGCATAAAAAGCAATATGAAGTGTCTCTTGGTAATAATCAATTCACAATTCATGAATCACCAAGAAACTTTTCTAAGATCTAATTTGTCTCTTGAGTGGGCATCTTCTGAGGAAAAAGATGCCTGATATCAAAGGCTGGCCCAAATAATGAAGCCATGTCTGTGTCCCATTAAGAAGGAATTCAATGTCAGACTGATATTTGCATCCACACTGTTTTATCAGAGAGAGAGAGAGACAGTTCATTATTTCTGGTTGGACCTCTAAAATCAGGTTCTTGAACCTACCAAACTAGGGAACATACCTGGTCTGTAATAATTTGTACTGTAATATATATGAGCTGACAAAATTGTAATAATGCTCCAAACATCATCACCTTACTGACAGTAGCAGAAGTAGAGATAGGATTTAGTTCCCAATAGCACATGCTGAGCCTCTGCCATGGGTTTTCTGCATGATGTACAAGGACCTGGGAAAGTTCAACTCACCAATGCTTTGTCCATCATCCCAGAACATCTGACCTTCAGCTTTCCCATCATCATCTAAAGCAACAGTCAATCCCATAAAATTTTGTCGACTACCAAGAAAAAAAGAGTCATTTTTCACCAGATTGTAGGTCATAAGAATGAAGATCAGCATCTTTTAAAAATATTATCTATCCAGAAATAAAAGGAATGTATGAAATATGTACATGAGATTTAAAAATAGGTAATATGAGATAAAATATAGGATACTTAACAGTCAATGGAAGAGCATTTAAAACTTAATGAAACATTGGTTCAACTTTCAAAAATCAAATACAGTATATATACTTTGAAGATACACGTTACAAGTAATATGATGAGATATGGATTCCTTAGGAAGAAGAACCAAGAAAAAAGGAACCCTTCAATAGCTTTCTGGTTGCTGTGGAATAAAATTCAAAGTACTAAAGCATGGCATTCAAGTTTGGCTTGAATTACGCTGAGGCAAACACAGCCTCTTCTTACCTGAAATGAGTGTTAATAGCAGGCTCTTGCCAAGGCAGAATGTAGCCTCCTCTGACATGAAGGTTAATGTGGTCGAGGGGAGCCTTCAGTATTTCCCAAACACCTGTAGATTCATGGCCAGATTCCTAGAAGAGAGTAAATAGACAAGGAATAGTGAGGGGCAAATGTATTAAATAGGTGAATGCATTATTGCAAGTCCTTCCTTTCCAAGAAAGTATGTTGGAAAACATTGCAAACTTGAAGAGAATGGCCCTTGCTTTTCATTTTTGTTTGAGACTCTGAAAGCCTAGATTTGTCTGTATCCCCAGAAAAGGTGGGTGGTGAGCATCAGTGCAGTGTAGGTGCTCAGAAGTTGTCAACTTATGCTTGTACTCATATCTTCACTTATACAAACCTTTCCAATGCTGAAAAGGTTGGAAATGATTGCCTTAGAAAGTATGTGTGTGGAAGTCAGGAGAAAGCTCTAGACACTTCTTTAGACTGGATGGAACAATGTTTATTCTTACCGTGCTGTAGTCATACCACCGGGCTCTGGGGAAATAAGCCCAGATCTCAAAAGTGTTCTAAAACATAAAACCAACATGTTACTATGAATGTTCCAATAATGCAATCATTTTAATTTTAAAAATACTTCTTGTAGAATTAAGATAAGACAGAATTTTATTTGGATATTAAGAATTTGAGGGCTTTTACTGAGAAAGGTTCTAGAAATTTCTTCTTCAAAGACACAGAAAAAGATTTTGAAAAGTAAACTGTAAAAGAATACAAATTTCTGGAATGAGAAATCAATCAGTTTTGTGAAATTTTTGTTAATGGAGATCTTGAAAGAAGAAAAAGTTTCCTTTTAGATATTCTAGAAAGTCATTTGTTTGAAAACAGTGAACTGGATGAGACAAGATGATTTTAAAAATGGTTTTCCTGTGGCTTTAAATTATGTGATTAGGGGGTCGGACCTAGAATGAAAAACTCACACTTTGCAGCACAGGGCTGACCAAGACAGCAGGGCCCAACATGAACTGATGGTCTATATTCCAAGTTGATCTGTCATCTGTAAACCTTAAAAAGTACATATGAAAAAGTTACCCATACCTTCACTGCCACAGAGGATTATTTTTAAGACAGCCCCACGGCACTGCCTGGAGAAAGAAGCTGTACTCACTCATGCAGGAGGGGTCGAATGACAGTGCTGCCCTCAGCGTGAGCTTTGTGCATCAAGGTGTAGAGATAAGGCAGCAGGGTGTACCTAGTCTGCAGGACTTTTCTTGAGAACATCTCAAAGGTTGAGTTCCAGGCCACAGGATCTTGTCTCTAAAAAGATAAGAGGGTCTGTAGCAGATCACCCCTTCTTCACTCCATTCTAGCGGTATCAGAAAAGGATCGTCCAACATTTCATTCCACATGAAAGTTACACACTACGTCTCCCTTCATTTCTAACCTACCTTTCCCCTGACCCTGCCTTCTACAAATCTAGAATTTGTTGCTCTCCTATTTATCAATGATCCTCACATCCCCTGCACAGGTCTAGCTTTAACCCTGCACATGTATGGAAAGACAGGTCCCTACACTGCACTGTATCTCAGGTGGATTTGAGTAAAACACAAATTTAATATTCCTAAAGGTAAATGGGCCTTCTATTTTAGCTCCATGGAGGAGTTATAAAGACTTCTCCCCTCTAGTAACTAATCCTCAGGAAATGAAGAAAATATATTCTTAAAAGCTTTTAATAAACCTGGGATTCTGAACATTGTGGGTTTTCCACAAAATAAAAGTCTTGATGATTTTTATGATTGTTTTTTGGTATAATTATGATAGTTTTATGAATTAAAAAGAAAGTGCTATTTGATGCCACAAAACGACTGTAGCTTGAGCAACAGCAACCTCACCCTGGTTCCAATGGTGTTGTGGTTCCTAGAAAATGGATAGAAGGCCCCCAGTTGCATCCAGCGAACACACATCTCATATTCAGCATCTCCAAAGAACCCACAGATATCTGCTCCTGTCTGAGAAGATGCAACATCAGAGTATGAATGGGTTGTAGATTCAGTGAAATCTGACCAGGTAGTTAGCAATGGCCTCACTACAACTTACATAAGATATTCCAAAGAGACTGAACTGCATCATGCCTGCAATGAGACAGTAGAGACATTTAGATGACCCCTTTGAGGAGGAGAGGGAAGGCTTTACATTTCTCTTTTCCTTTCCCCATTAAAAAGTCTGGGCCGTACATGATGAAAATATTGAAAGATGAGTATGAATTAAAACTCACACCCATAGAGAACTTAACTCTTGTTATCTTACTCTTTACCTAGATGATAGTCTAGACATACCCAGCGTAACCAAGTAACACACTCCAGTACTCATGCCACCACTATCAGAGGCCCCCAGGAACAAGCCCATGTACCAATGATCGATTTCCCCAGCTGGTCCCATGCAGCTGTGTTGTCTCCCAGCCAGTGTCCTGCCCAGCGGCCAGAAGAGGGGAATGTGGAGCGGGTGATGACAATTCCTCGCTGTCCTGTCGTGTCCTGCACAGCCCTGGTTGGAGAAGAACAAGAAGGTGAATTTGAGGATTGACAAGGAGCAGCTGCAGCTTGACCATGAGGCAGCTGAGCTGTTCTATTTGGAGTGAAAGAACTTCTTCCTAGAAAGGATCTGTCATTTAAAACTAACACTAAGAATCCCAACCAACTTCACAGGATGTCTGTGAGAGAGATGCCTGCACCTAGAATGTGGATTTATTTTTTTTAATCTACTTAGTTCTTTATCTACATGGAGGTTAAGAGGAGGGCTAGGGTTAAGGAAAAATTCCTGTGCCCCAGGTCACTGGTCACTTTCATGGGTTCCATCTCACACCTCCAGAGGGAGGTTTTCTTGTATCTGCCTCTTTCCTGTTAGGAAACTAAGGCCCAAAGAAGCTAGGTAACTTGCAAAGACAACTTAAAGAGCAAGGAAGCAGATCTGGGGTTCAAATAACAATATATATGGCTGCCCCTTTTTGGTAATATTCATTTTACTTTGCAATACCTCAAAGAGCAGGATATGTTTTCCACACATAGGCAAAAATGCATAAAAAGATCATTAAATAGCTCTCAAAAGAAGACAGATCTTCTACCTGTGTTCATAGTGAAAAAATTAAACATGTATGTGAGAAAAATCAGTAGAAGAAAAGAGAAAGACCATTAACAGATCCAAGTATATTTTCAATCCACAAATTAAAGAAAGCACCACAAGTATAGACTGCAATTAATTATTCAAAACGAGATGTTAGTGAAAGAAGCTTCTTTTTTTTTTCTGGTACCTGGGATCAAACTTGGGTCCTTGAGCTTGCGCAGCAGGCAGCAAAATCACTGAGCTAAATCCCTGGCCCCAAAAGAAGCTTCTTAATGGAGTAAAAACTAACTCATTTGGATCCCAGGCTCCTAGGGCAGAGAAGGTGAGCCAGTCCCAGCACCCAGAAGGAAGCTCTCTGCCTCCATCCCAGGCTCCTAGGGCAGAGAAGGTGA